CGTCCTCTGCCAACAGACCGACAGTGCCATCCCCACCCCATTAGCTGCCAGAGGAACGCCCCAGTAAAGCCACCAGCCCGCTCCCTGCTCTGCAGCAGCCAACACCCGCCGCCTCCGGCAGCTCCCGCTGTTTTCATGGCAAGTGCAGGCAGCATCCACCGGAACAGGCTCTGCACCAGGCACCTGCCTTGCTTTGGAGACCCTTCACGCCGCTTCTCGCCCCAAAGCCTCCTCGCACCTCACCTGGTTTGACTCCTTGGTCCTCCCCTTTCCCAGGGCTGCTGTTCCCCTCTGGGCTCTCCAAAGGCTTCTCCTTCTCTTGGATCCCCTCGTCTGCGGAAGGGAACAGGACATGAGAAAGGTTTGATGTGCGAAATGCTCGTCAGGGAACAGCGTCCTTGTCTGGATAGACTTTCCCTTTAAGGGAAAAGTGACCATATTGTTTGTATGTTCAGAGCATTTGAAAAACTTCTAACAGAATCTTCTGCATTTTATCAAGAAAACAGAGTTCTCCCTCTTCCTTGAGACATCTGGAGGAACACATTGCTGGGAACAGAAAAGACTCCCAAAAACGAGCACTTCACAGAATTCACAACCTGGAATTGTTTTGTCAGGAGTTGCTACAGGACCTTGCAACAGGACATGAAGAGAAAGACCCAAGTGAGATGCAAGCGCGGGAGCCTCCTCCCGAGGAAAGCCCGCCCGTGGGGAGCAGCAGCGTGTCGGAGGCTGGCGGGGTGCTTGCCCCGGTGTCCGCACAACTCCAGCTGCAAACCCCAGCGTGAAGCGAGGCCGCTGCCGACTGCCACAGCCCCGCAGGAGAGCCCGGGCTCGGAGGGCGAGCATGAGGACTGCATTCATCCCAGCCAGAGACTCACATTTGGGGGCTCGAGGGGAGGCTCAGCCTTTCTGTTCTCCTCTTGCTTCTCCTCCTGCGGTTTCTCCTTGCTGTCACAGCTCTCGGGGTACTCTTCCCCTTCCACCTTCTCGGCCCTTGCAGGCACCT